GACGATCCATCGCATTGGAGATCTGACGGCCACTTTTCAGTCAATCCGACGATCCATCGCATTGGAGATCTGACGGCCACTTTTCAGTCAATCCGCCGATCCGTTGCATTGGCTTTCTTTGTTGCGGAAGCCTGAAGGGGTGGACCCCATATTTTACTCAGACTCTGAAGAGGTTGCGACTTTTCAGCCTGAAGGGTTGGCCCCATTTTTTCTGTCTGAAGATGCTGAAGGGGTTGACCCCATTTTTTCAGACTGTGAAGGGAGTGGTTGACCCCATTTTTCAGTCTGTGAAGGGGTTGAGCCCATTTTTTTCAGTCTGGACTCTGGAGGGTAGACCCCATTTTTCAGTCTGTGAAGGGGTTGAGGCTGTTGAGCCCATTTTCAGTCTGAACTTCTCTGAAGGTGTTGAGCACTGTTGACCCCATTTTTCAGGAGGGTAGTTGGGTGTGTTTGGGGGGGGGGGATGGGGGGGGACTAACACATTTGCATTAAATTGCATAAGTAAATGATGGGAGTGTTGTCCGAAGGGATGGATTGTCAGGTAGTGCAACTCTACGGTCAAGATTTGACAGAGCATGAATCCGGTGGTTCTGATTCATCAATCCGCAGAGTCATCGTCTGCCTCCTGCGTGTCGATTGATGGGCTGGCGGAACGATTAAATGGGTTGGTTTTTTCCTGTCATTGACATTGATTGCTAAGCTTCTTTCTTTTCAATGGATTGCGAGCTATCGCGAATCTACTGTTGGATTTAACAGTGTGAAAGCATCGAGGTGGTGTTCGCACGACACGACCGAATCTTATCTGCAGCGACCAGCTGCTGGAATTAACAGTGCGAGCCAGTGATCCGGCTGGAATCGGATTGATTGGATTGATTGGATTGATTGGATTTATTGGATTGATTGGATTGCATTGGATTGCATTGCATTTGATTGATTGATTGATTGGTTGGTTGGTTGGTTAGGTAATTGATTGGGTGATTGATTCCATGTGTAGGTCCGTTCCTGTCATTGATTAGTACGGTTCTTTGTTGTCGCAGGCTGCAATTAAGCAACCGAAAAAAAAAAAAAGGCTGTGATTATTAGCCAATTAAGCATTAGAGCTTTGATGGCAAACGGAATTCATGCTGTGCTCAAGAATTCCGTCGTCCAGATTCGATGCATCAGCTGGTTGACATGTTACCCAAGGGGTGTTCCGCAGACAGACAAGACGCATGGAGACACAACGTGGATGCTCTGAGTATCTCTTGAAGGAATCTGGACCAATCTAGGACCAGATTCATAGCATTCAAGTAGGCAAAGCAAGGGTGCATCTCAATGAGGAGGATGCATACGTCGTACACGCATGCAAGCACAGTGAGCCTTCCCTGAAACTGCCCTGAGAATTCTTGCTTGACAAGGACTCAAGCGAGCAGGAATGCAAGCACAGTGACCCTCCTCTGAAACTTCTCTGAAAGTTGTTATGTGACAAGGACTCTCAAGGAGAAGTGATTGCTGAATTGATGCCGATACAATTTTTATTTTTATTTTTTATTTTTTATTTTTTATTTTCTTTCCCCTCTCCGGCTGGAAAGCATGTTTGCACAGTCGTTACCAAACCTCTGGATGTGCGAGAGAGAGAGAGAGAGAGAGAGAGAGAGAGAGAGAGAGAGAGAGAGAGAGAGAGAGAGAGAGGGAGGGAGGGAGGGAGGGAGAGAAGGATAAAGTGTCGAATTTAGAATTGCCCTTGAAAGAGAAAGTGATGTCGAGAGAGGAGGAAAGCATTGCCCTGAGGGAGTGAGAGGGACAGAAAACAATGTGATAGCACTTTGTTAAGCGGAGTTGTGGCTCAGACACAAGTGTTTGGGATGAATTCATCGAGACTGACTTTGTGTAATCCTTTTAACATAGGGGGGTATTCACACTAGCTCCTTCTTAAATCAAGTTAAATGTATCTGAACGCATTTACCGCTGCGCGTGCATGCATCTGACCGCAATTGCGTCCATTAGTTAGTAAAAAGTTCTAGTGTGAGTATGTCCTTAGTGTTTCTGTACTGGTTGCCTCCGTAGTAATTTGTACAGATCTGTTGTTGTTTTTTTCACTTTTTTTCACTTTTTTCACTTTTTTCACTTTTTCACTTTTTTTCTGGCTTTAGGATTGCTGTTTCAGTTGTTGGAAATTGCCTTAGGCTTTTTCTGAGAGGAGGAGGAGGAGGAGGAGGAGGAGGAGCAGAGGAGCAGAGGAGGAGGAGGAGGAGGAGGAGGAGGAGGAGGAGATGTAGGCCGATTGGACCCTAGAAACACCAATGAGGAGATAGAAAAAACAATGAGTAAAGTGGGTAGGATAGCATTAATGCTTTCTAGAGAGGGAGTCACAGGGAAGCTTTTTTTTTTTTACCTTTTTTTTTTTTTTTTTTTTTTAAGGTGTGTAGCACTGTGTACTCATTGAAGCTTATTTAGACATAGGACCGATAGAGAAGATTAGATCGGCGGATGCTCGACAATAACTTGCCACACAAACGGAGAAAGCGCAGTCTTATTGAGCTTAGGCGCCTTGAAGTGACAAGCAGAGGGGAGAAGGTATGGACAATTGCTGGAGAGGAGGAGGAGGAGGAGGGGGTGCAACGAGTGAGAGAAGATTTTTTTTCGGTTATCTTTTGTTTTAATTGTGGAGAAGGTTTGCCTTTCTTTCTGTATCCTCTTTTTTTTT